CTCCAATTTTCAGATGATTTTTTAGATGAGTCATTGGGGGGCCAGAGAAGTTGAAGATCATGCCTTTGATCTTGCTCTCCCTCGACGTGCCCCACAAAGGTAGAAAATGACAGTTATGGGACAGGAGAGTGGCTCTAGTGACATCAAGTCTGGAGTCCTGGACTCCACCCCTGGCCCTGCCTCTTAGGCCTGGTGAGCTTTCAGGTAAGGTTTCTTCCCAGCTTTGGGCCGTAGTTTCCTTACTTAACCAACGAGGAGACCACCTGGCTAACCTCTCTGATTTTTCTCTGCTCAAAAGTTTTTCTGGTTCCGGCTTCAGAAATTCCCTTTGGACTTCTGCAGCCTGGTGTCATCCGGCAGCACGGAGGGGAAGATGGAGCATACAAGGCAGCCTTTCAGAAGGGAGTTAGCCCCTGCCCTGCCACAGTGTTAGGGGCTGGGCATCTCCCAGGCCCTCGGGGTGGAGGCACCCAGCTGGACAGACTCTCTGGAAGGTCTTCATGAGGCCATAATCTCCCTCAAGCTTCCACAAAGGTAGCTGTGGGCCAACAGAAGACCATCTGGCAATGTTTCCAAGCAACTGCATTCATTGCCAACATTATTGAATCAAGAGATTTTACACTAAAATCTGGATTCCTGGATTTTCCTGAAAAGTCTAAAGATGCGACCACTCCAGGCTCATGTCCTCGCTGGCCACACCGGCCCATGCTCCTGGATCCTGACCTTTCAATGGGACAACAGTGCTCTCCTTTGCCATGGACCCCAACGCTCCCCTGGCCACTCACACACAGGCCTCCCCTGGCTGGCCCTTTAGACACTTTAGTCTGGAAGCCTCACATGAGGAACTAAGGGTGCTCTTTTTTTGAGAAAGGACTCAAAGAGAAGGGACAGGCTTCATGCAGCATTTGGGCATAGAAACAAAAGCTCTTTTCCTACCGACACAACCAGTGCACTGGACTCTGTTCACTACTGAAGCTGAGCCCTGTGGCCTGGGTACAGGTAGGAGCCCTGAGCCCTGGAACAGAAACCTGAAGGTGTGACCAAGGAGGGGCTTTCATCCATGAAACTCTCTCTTTCTCCCAGCAGTCACCACCCAGATCTCTATCTGCTTTCCGGGGCCCAGGGTGGACCAGCAGACATGTGTCATTTCCCTGGGTAGGAGCCATAATGGCGATATTGTACTGAGTGGAACAAGAGAAGTTTTCATCTGGCCACCAGCCCTGGGCAGACGCTCGAGCAAGGGGCTCTGGGGCTCACTCTACACAAAGGAGCTTGGGAGAGGGGCCCTGCACCAAGGAGAAGCCCAATGGGCTAGGCTGCATGCCCACAGCAGCACGCAGTGAGGCTGGGAAGCAGAAACCTCTTCCTTGCAGAGTACCTCGCTGCAATCTCATTTCCCCTGCAAACAAGTGAGCAAACAAACAATCCCAGGTGACAAATGGCACCCTCTGGGATGCACGCATTAAAAGAAGCCTCATGAGCCCTTGAGCAAGTATTCACTGACTCATTCCACAGTACTTACTACCACTCACCCCTGGCCAAGCATGGCACTAGAGCTGTAGGGATCTAGCAGGGAGTAAGACACAGCACTCACCCTCTCAGTGCTTGCAATCAGGGAACTGGGCGGGGAGGGGAGGCAAGGCAAGAAGTTAAGTAGGAAATTAAACATTGACAACCCAACTGAAGAACGGAGATTCACAGAGCAACAGAGTCAGTCCAAGAACTCAGGTCTGAATGCCCCATCTGTGGTTTTTCTTACTCTTCCCAGGGTCTCCTGAGCTATTTATCTGCACTGAGGTAGGGGGTCAGTGAAGAAGGCACCCCATAGTAAGGAACTTGGACTCTACACTAAGGACAGAGGGAAGCCATCCCATATTTTTATTTTTTTTTCATCCCATATTTTTAAGAGGGATCTGGGGGCACTTGCCTTTGACTCAGGTTGTGATCTCAGGATCCTGGGATCAAGTCCCTCATCAGGCTCCCCATGGGGAAACTGCTTCTCCCTCTGCCTATGTCTCTGCCTCTCTCTCTCTCTCTCTCTCTCTCTGTGTGTGTGTGTGTGTGTCTCATGAATAAATAAATAAAATTTTTAATAAAAAATTTAAGGGGGATCTGATTGGGGTCATGGAATGTTCGCTCTGGTGGCCATGATGCAAGCAGACCTAGAGGCAAGACAAAAGGGTAGAAGACTAGAGTATGTTTCTTTCACTGGGACAAAGAATCTTTAGCCTCCAAATTTTTCTTTCCCAGGGCTTCCCAGTTCCACCTGATAAGCTAAGAATGAGACTGGGGAGTATCATTTGTTTTCCCAAGATTGGGAGCATGAGGGAGTTGAAAGCTTTCTTCCTGGTATTGTTCACGGGGATCAAATTTGATATCTTTTTACAGAGCCAGAGCTCTCCACACAGAACTCTTTAGACAGCACCAGACAAACCTAGTACCAAGCAATAAGAATCCTCTCCGAGGGTTGCACTCATGCAGAGACATGGGAAGGAAAGGAGGAAACAGGACATCCACAACCACCATCCAGGTCCTTCACTGGCACTTACCACTGGGCACCCCACAATCACACCAAACCAAACAGCTCTACCAAACGGCTCTACAGGCACGTTCTGTGGTCTCCCCCACTGTGGCTCTGCTCCTACTGTTTGCTAATTACTGTTTGTAATGTAATCTCCCCATTGTGGGCTCACCCAAATGTCCATCATCCAGTACTGTCACTATGATTGGCAAGAAATTCTTGCTTTGTCTTGATGAACTCCAAGAGGACTTTATCTCTCCTCTGGTCCTTTTCACATAGAAATCTGTAACTCATTTATTTTGTGCATATTTATGTCCTCTATTAGATTGTAGATTCCTTGAGGACAAGAGCCCATTCCCACTTGGTGTTTTTTCTCCAGATAGGAACCTGCACAGAATGCAACAAATATTGCTACGTGAATGGATGAAACATGGTGTCCTTTTTATGGTGACCATAGACTCCATTAAGTGAAAAGGACAGAAAAAATATATATATAGTTATTCCTTGTCCAAAACCCCCAAACAGGGTTTCTCATTCAGTGATCCTGACAGCAACCCAGCTGTAATCAACTAGGTCAACAGTACCACCCAGTGGGCATTATGTGTAATTATCTAAACCAGAACCACCACACCTCCACAGCCCCTTCTTTCTGTTAACTCTTGGCAAACTGTGCACAGACTGTTCTCCCATTTATACATGTTTCCCAGTCCAAAGTTCAGTTATCCCCCCTCCATAAATTACCCCTCAGATATATATAAATTCTCCTTAGCCCTTTTGACTTTACTGTTTCAATTCTCTAATGAACCTCCAAAATTCTTGAAAGTTTAGCAAATATTTTTTAAGAATCTACCAGAGCCTCTGTCTTATAATTGCTATATTTTACAATATTTTACTCTTTCAAATGAAATGTTATGTTTTTAAACATATTAATGGGCTGCCCTGGGACCTTAACAGCCATCCATTGCCTTGTTTCCAATGTTTCAGAGTTCCAACAGTGAACTTGGGGAACTTAATCCACTTGTAAATTGTTGGTTGTCTGCTTTAGAATTTAAACTGACCTTTTCAAATTGGAAAAGTAGGCAGGAACAAAGAGGAAGTTGGAAAATAATAATGCCTCACATTTTTATAGCTATTTATGGTTTATAAAGTGGGTTTGTACCATCATTTCATTTGCCCTCGCAACAGCCCCATGAGGTCAATCAGAGGTCTCCCAAAGCACAGATGAGCAAGAAAGTCTTATGCACTTCGTAGGGCAAGACCTCACACACAAGTTTTCTGACTCAAATCCTGTTTTTCTTCAGCATGCCACATTTCCTCTGAGGGCTAACACATACTACAAACAACCCATGCAATGTATGGAAGACAGCATCAATTTCAATTTGCCCATAAAAGCCATGGAGAAAAAGATCCCTAGTCCAGGAAAGTGCAGGATACTCTTTCCCAAGTTGCTCCTCGCCTCTCTGCCTTTGCACAAAGTGTTCCCAATGCCGGGATGTTCTAAGTTGAAGGAGTTCCCTAGTCAAGACTGAAAACAGAGCCTTGGCCCAACTTGGGGAGGAAGGGTGTCTAGGAGGACGATTGGGCTTGGACTCCACTTTGTAAAAGGTCTTAAATTTAGATATTTGATATGGTCTATAAATAAGTTATACCTGTTTTCACAGAGACACAATAACGGGATGAAAGAAGTTGACATTCTTCATACAACTTTAACCTTAAATCCTGCTCCTGGGCCGCACTGGCCATAGCAGTATTCTTCGTACGTGCTGTAATCGGTTTGCAAAGAGCGCACCTCCATCGCTCTGTATTTCGGACGCTGCAAGTATTCACCTCCACAATTTGTATCCCCCCCGTTTGGATGTCTCATCCGTTAATACACAAAGAAGCTCAAAAGCTGGAACTATCCCAAGCACTGTCCACCCTTTAACCCTCTCTGTGTGTCCTTGTCTTTGACGCTCTTCTCTTTGGAGATCTATTATCATCGTTTTCCCCCTGCTCTCCGCGCGCACCGTGATTGACGCCGCACCGGCGTAGCGCCCCGTCCACTATCTGGAACTGGAAGGTGCTCAGGAAAGGCGCGTCGGCCGCAGACGGTGGCCAAAGTCAGGCCACGAGGGGCAGCTGCGGGGGGGGTGGGGGGGTTGATTCCCCCGGCGGTGGCCGGCGGCGGGGCGGGGGCCGGGGAGCTCGTGCCAGCAGTCGGGGCGGCCGGCAGATGGAATGCGCTGGAAGGTGCGGCCGTAGCGGGGGGCGGCAGCGGCGGGGAGGGGCGCGGCGGGGAGGGGCGCGGCGGGGCGGGCCCCGGGACCCCGGGCGGCCGCGCAGGGGGCGAGGCGAGCTGCGGCCCGATTCCGGGCGGGCGCGGGGGGGCGGGCGGGGGCGCGGGGCGGGCATCCTGTCGGGGGAGGGGCGGCGCGCAGGGCGCTCCCGCGGGGCCGCAGCACAGCGCCGCCCGCCCCTCCGCCCGCCCGCCCGCCCGCCCGCCGGCCCCGCCGCCGCCGCCAACCCGCTCCGCGCGCCCGGGCCCCGCCGGCGCCATGGACCGAGGCCGGGGTAAGAGGAGCCGCGGCGCCGGCCCCGGCTGCTGCGCGGGGCGCGGAGGGAGGACGGCGATGGGGGTGGGGGGAGCGAGAGGAAGAGGAGGGCGGGGGGGGGGGCGAGGAGGGGTCGCGGCGGTGGGAGCCCGGGGCGGGGGTGCAGGTGCCTCCGCCGCGGGGCCAGCTCCTGAGCGGCAGAGGCGCCCCCCTCGCGTCCCGGGGCCGCGTCGCCCCCGGCGTGTAAGACCCGTTTCCTGCGCCCGGAGTCAACTTCGGGAATCGGTTTGCAGAAATGCCCCGCGGGCTTCCCGGGGCCTGCGGGCCGCTCCCACCCCGTGCCCTCTGGAAGAGTGAGACAGGGCCGGCAGGCACCCCCCCAAACGCGGGGCGCCAGACGCCCCCCGGGAGACCCGAGCCTGCAGCTGCCCAGGGGCCTTGGGAGCAGGGACAGGGCGCGCGCCACTGTGCGCCTGGGCGCGCGAGCCCGCGCTCTGGCCCTGACGAGCTGTGCGATCTGCGCCCGATCCCTCTACCCCTCTGGACCAATGACAAAGTCGGATCGAGGGTCTCTGCGGGGCCCCTTCTTGCTCCCACGGCTTTTCAGGAGTTGGGTGTGTCTGATAAAAGTCCCAGAGGTTGGTGAGGGAGGGCGTGTGGAAATTGACAGGAGAAAAGAGAGCAGCGTGTGTGGGGAGGGGAAGGGGGCTGCTTAAGAGGACGCCTAGACACTTCAGAAGGCGCGTGTGTCTGCAAACAAGGGGCCGGCTTGGACGCGCGGGACACCGGAGCACCCAGCCACCCACGGCTGCCAGGCAGAGAGATCACGGGTGGGAATGCGCTTGGCACACTGGCCAGTGCTGCGCCAACGTGAGAAGCCTTGTTCTTGTTACTGTTATCAATGGGAAATGCCTCTGCCTCCCTAAAAATCTCACACCTTTCCTCTATCTGCCTGTTTGCTGGGCTGAGGCCCCCAAGGTGGGCGGTGGGGCTGGGGACAGGAACGGGGGCGGAGGAGGGTATGAAAGCAGTGAGGAGGGCGCTGGGGGCAGGGGTGGGTGCATGAGCAGGTTTCAGGATCAGCTGGCACCGACTCCCAGTACGGAAAGGCCAGGCTGAAGGAGTTCCCAAGGCTCTAGGGGACCCCAGCTTCCAGTTCAAGATGCTGGGCACGACTTCTCCACCCACCTGTTCCCAGCACAAAATACTGCATACGCCTTCCCCTTTGGGCCTTCGGGGAGGCAGGAAATGGACGGGGCTTCCGTCTGGCTCTTTGGACACTGGGGCTCCGATTTGTAAAGCAGTTCTCACCTGTTAAAGGGACTCGTGGACAAGTTTGCAAACAGCATAGGCACCAGAGAGGAGAAACAGAGGGAAGAGGCACCTCTAATGTCCCTCAATCGTCCCTACCCACCTCCCACACAGTGCATCTAAAGCAAAAAGTGCCCTCCTCCAGAAAGTTGTTGAACGTCCCTGTCTTGGTCCCCAGCACAAAAATCCACATCTGGTCTACTCAGAATTATAGGAGGACTGTGCCCTCCTTAGACAGACCAAGGGTGACAATAATTCAATTAGCTTAAAGTGTTTTATAACCAGACACCTCCCTTAAGAAGGATATCTCCTGAGCACTCTTCTAGAGAGCTGGACTTCCTGGGACCCAGTTAGTACACAAAACTTTCTAGAGCTCTCCCCTGCTGCTGGCTTTCCCAGCCTACTTTTCCTTCTCCTTAACACCTCTTGTCTCAGTGTGCTATTACTTTAAGAGTTAGTCATGGGCCTATATGTGTTGTGTCTACCTTTCCTCCCCAAGCGGAAGCTTCTGGAAGGCAGGGAGTGGATCCGTGTGGTCACTCTCCTGACACAATGCTTGGCACACAGTAGGAGCTCGCTAAGAGTGGTTCAGTTATTAACAGAAATATGAAGCACACTTGGTAGTGCACTGCAAGTTGATGGATATACTGTTGATTTTTAAAAGAGAATATACGTCAGAACAGTTCTTTGCGACTTTCAAAGGCCTTCTCAAAATGTGAGTAAAGTGGTCATATGGCCAGGGCACATGAGATCAGGTTGTCTGTCTAGTTCCTAAGTTGTCTATCCTGCTAAATTATTGCAAACATCTTATGCACTAAAGCAAACTATATATGAATTAGAATGGAAACCTGTATACGTATTCAAAATAAAACATGGAGCTTCAAAAGGCAATCCAGCAGACGTTTTTTAGTGTGCCCCTTGCCCCCAGGTGGGCGTGTGCATTCACTTCCATTGTTCGGAAGGTTTAAGAAGCTTGGGTTGAGTTTCAAACTCATACCTACTACTACAAGGGGAGTGGGATTGTCGTGCCCAAGATACTGGGGAGGAAACTACACTTGGGCATTAATAACAATAGCCACGGAAATCATCCTAGGAAAGCCTGCATCGCAGGTGTATCAGTTTGCTAGGGCTGTATAACAAAGCACCACAGACCAGGTGGCTTACACAACAGATGTATTTTTTCACTTTTTGGGAGACTAGAAGTCCAAGACCAAAGTGCTGTCCAGGTTGGTTCCTGGTGTGGCCTTTCTGACAGGCTTGTAGACCTCCGCACCTTTTTTTTTTTTTTTTAAAGATTTTTATATATTTATTCATGAGAGACACACAGAGAGAGATATAGAAACATAGGCAGAATGAAAAGCAGGCTCCCTGCAGGGAGCCCGTTGTGGGACTCGATCCCAGGACCCCAAGATCACGACCTGAGCTGAAGGCAGATGCTCAACCACTGAGCCACCCAGGTGCCCCGAGACCTCTGCCTTCTTGCTGTGTCCTCACCTGACCTCTTCTCTGTGCTCTGTCCACGTGTGAAGAGAGAGTGCTCTCTGCTGTCTCTTCCTGTTCTTTTAAGGACATCAGTCCTATCAGATCAGGGGCCCACGCTTATGACCTCATTTAACTTTACCCCTCTAGAGGCCCTGTCCCCATATACAGTCACATTGGAGGGCTAGTGCTTCAACCTATGAATTTCAGGGGGTACACTCCAGTTCAGATCAGCAGGATTGGGTCACTGCCACTAGTGGCACACCAATCACTTGCTGTTTAAGGGACAGAGCTAAGTTTGAACCAAAGTGCTGGTCTTAAGCTTACTGCTGACTGCCTCTGCTGTGGCAGGTTACCTGCCCAAGCCCTAGAGCAAGATTTGGATGCCATGTCTTCTTGCCCCCGGTCCAGGTACCTCCCTCACACCTCAGCTGTGCTGCTCACATCTTCAGCAGCAATTGCAGCATAAAAGCTCAGCACCAAGGTCAACCGACTCAAGAATAAAAACAAACCTGGAAATTAAGACTTCTCTTCTCACAGGATATATGTCTTCCCATGAGTAAAGGAAAATTTATATGAGGCCAGAACAGACAGAGAAACCACTCATAATGAAATTCCTTCCAGTAGGATTTACAAATTCATGAATATCATACAAAGAGAGTAGGAGAGGGGCACCTGGGTGGCTCAGTGGTTGAGCATCTGCCTTTGGCTCAGGTCATGATCCCAGGGTCCTGGGATTGAGTCCTGCATCAGGCTCCCTGTAGGGAGCCTGCTTCTCCCTCTGCCTGTGTCTCTGCATCTTTCTCTATGTCTCTCTTGAATAAATAGATTAAATCTTTAAAAAAGAGAGAGAGAGAATAAGAGACTGATGGCCACAGACACCACCTCCTACAGGACAAATTAACTAATTCTGTCTTCATAGGATAAAAAAAAAATATGAATACTGATAATACCTATTTCTTGGGGTTGTTGTATATATTAAATGCACAGAAGGTGCTTCAAACAATGCCTAGTATGTGGGACCCACTCCGTAAATGCTATTGTAATTAAAGCCTTGTATCATCAGATTCTGCATAATAAAATTGCTTTATAAAGCTTCACTTGCAGTGGTGTCTGGGTGGCACAGTTGGTTAAGCATCTGCTTTTGGCTCACATCATGACCTTCACGTCCTAGGATCCAGCCCCGCATTGGGCTCCCTGTTCAGTGGGGAGTCTGCTTCTCTCTCTCTCTCTCTAATAAATAAATCTTTAAAGCTTCACTTGGTCCCCCCTCAAGCTGCTCTGACTCTGATGACAGATTTGGAGTCCCTCCTCTGTTTTAAGGATGAGCTAGACAGCTTTGTGTACAACTCAAAGACAGGATCTGTATCATAGTCTTCTCTGTATCCTGGAGCACCTCCTTTGTGGTGCTTATCCCTTGAAAATCCATCTGTGACCCTCAATAACTGGACCACAGTCTGACAGATGACTTTGAGTGACTGGTAAAATACTAATATGTATGCCGACGTGTCCATATTCTCTTATGCATCCTATTTACTCGTGCCCACTGACTGGCTGTGTCTTCCTAATTTTGCCTCTGCAATATTTCCAGTCTTCTCAAGCCATCCCCTCTTTAAAGCCTTTGGTCTAAATTTTATCTGATTTTGTAATATGCCTTCTTAATGTCCAAGATTATATCTGATCTGCTTGCCTCATGTGAAGTCACCGATTTCCCCATGGTTCCTTTCCTTTCCACCTCACAACTAGTTCTTTTTCAACTAGTTGAATTCAACCCAAGATGGGAGTTTCTTTTGCAGTCTGTGTTCTTTGGGAGATCATATTGCCTGCTGGGCAACTCAAGAAATAATCTGAAACTCTACTTTTCATTGAATGGGATTTTTATTGTTCAAGAGATGGTGGAAGAACCCATTCTAACTATTGTGCCTCTGTTGGACCATCTTTGAGATTCACATTAGGAAAGCCGCATCTTCCTTATCCAGCTTCCATGGGCCAAGCAACCTGTAGCTACTTCTAGAATGAGCTCTCTACAGTGACTCACCACCCACCTTCTACCTCTAGGATTGTGCATTCCCATGCAGATTACCTCTTCCCTGAGATCCAAGTTCTTTCTCTACTCCTATCCGTTACTGGCCTTCTGAAAGGAATACTCAACCATATTCATCTTTTCCAAATATGTTTTGTGACATCATCTTTGTCAGCCTGAAGACTGAGTAAAGCTGAATGGTTCAG